GGGGGCTGCTTGCCCTAGAAGTGGACTAAGGAGGACATTTACCAAGTTGGACTCTGGATGCATGCAGTGGACAGTACTTGGACCTTGAATCAGATGCTGTGGGAAAGACAGAGATGCCTGGGCCTTCCTGCAGAGGGGCTGGGACATGGGTGGGGATGGAGTATAACTTCTGTACCTCTCAAGGTTCCCCTGAGAGTTGGGAGCAGGCAGCCACTCTCTCAGTAAACACATTAGTAATACTGTATGTATTCTGAGCTGGTTGAGTGACCTGGGCAGTTGTAGCTCTCCCTCTACTTCAGTGTCCCTTAGCAACACAATTAGCTTAATGTTTAGGTGTAAGTCACAAAGCCACTTAAACAAAGAACCAACAGCTTGCTAAGCCAGGGTCTTCATCAAGGCTGTGGTATACAAATATAGTATAGAAGCTTCTTGCCTGAGCTCCTGAGCTCCATTTAGTTTGGCTGCAGCAAGATGCTGTTTGTTTCGCCTGCTAAGCAGCCAGAGGAAACTAGCACTCGGGAATTGGAACAGGCACTGAAGACACAAAGGAGTCCCCATATATATGCACACAGAGCTGAGAGTGCGTACGGTGTTAGGGCTGGGGGAAGTGGAAGTTTCAGCCCTTCCGTTGCAGCCTTGGCCAAATCCCACTTGGAAAAGTGCTCAGTACTCAGAGGAGATGAGGACTGTCTTGTGGCATGTGTCATGATGCAGATGCAGCTATCTTCTCTTTTCCTTGTGAGGCCTAAGAGACCCTCAGGATGGGGCATGCAGCGTTGGCAGGGGACAAGCAGGTAAAGCCCAAGGCATAGCAGTTCTCAGGCTGGTTATAGCAAGGTCACTCACTGGAGGACTGAGCTATCTAGCTGCCGCTCCAGTTCCAACTCTAGATACCTGTTCTTTGTGCCCATTCTATCCCTCAGAGTCAATACTGCTCACAGATACCTAGCCTGATAGATGAGGCTTATGTTACATAAAGCCCAAAGTTTAAGATGATCACCTAAGGTATAGGGATCCAAATTTAATCTCCTAAACTTATGATTAAGTCTTAACCTTAGCTCACATTAGAATCACCTGGAGAGCCTTAAAAAAAACCCTTAAATTTTTAATTAAAAATAAAGGTTCTACATGAAAAATTTGAATCCCTGAAAATAGTAATGAACTCCCATATACCCATCACCTAGATTCAATAATTACTAAAGTTGTCAACTTTATGTCACTTATCCCCTTTTCTTTGTTGAGGTATTTTAAAGTATATCTCATGCCTGATGCCATTTCAACCTTACACCCTTCTGAAAAAAATATGGTCATTTTCTTATGTAGCAACAATGCTATTCTCACACTTATCAAATTTAAAAAAGTTATTCTTTGGTATCAGCTAATATACTTGAGAACTTATAATAAAGAGCTGGGCTTGATGAGGCCAGAATCTCTGGAGGGAGGCCCAGCCATTAGTAGCTTCCGTAAGCTTCCCTGCTTTGTGATGCCAATATGTTGCCAGGGTTGAGAACCACTGCCCTGGTCAATCTAAGATCATGCTGTGGGATCTTCAGCCAGTTCTATCAATGTCCTCTAGTCCCTGACCATGTGGCACACAATAAAACCTAAAGAAAATACAAAAAGTCATGGGCAAGATGAAGAGGAGGAAAACAAAAGCATAAAAAGTCGGCAAGTCACAAAACGGAATCCCTTGTATATTCCAAGGCTGTCCTCTGCTCAGGAGTTGAAGCCCACTCAGTTGATGCATCAGATCCATCAAAGCCTCGAGAAGCCTGGAAGGCGGGTGGTTCCCAGCTGCCCACGCTGCTTGCAGTCCTCGGCACCTCTACATTAGGCCAGCCTGCATTATTCCTCCTCCCTATTTCTAGCTCTTCTTGCTTCTGAACATGCTGGCAAACTTTAAGCCTTAGCACCTGGATCTTAGAGAGGATTAATTACATAGGCTGTGGTGGTGGGGTGTGTGTGTGTGTGTGTGTGCGTGCGCAAAACTTCTTGGGTGTTGCACTGGAGTGTAAGAACCATATTCTTTAATTTTATTTTTCTCATTTAAAAAAAAAAAAAAAACCCTAAACAAAACATACTGCAAAAAGATGAGGCTGTATCACTGTAGCTAAAAATACCTCCACTGAGGGCGTCCGCTCACCAGCTCCTCAATTAGAGATGCTACAGGGCCCTTTGTGAGTTGTGTAGTGTTGGCAGCTCCACGGGGGCTCTGGGTGGCTGGGGACAGTCCCTGGAGCAGTGACTTGTGACTGCTGGTTGGATGGGGTCTGGCAAACAGCCAATGAGCCTGCATTGAGACTTACATGCTTCAGGTAATTTCTAAACCCTTCTTGCTTTATGGGCCCACTACTTAAGCCAAGAAACCTCTTGCCCTCTTCTACAATGAGCCAGAATTATGCCTGTCATAATACCATGATCTCGACCTCCCCAAGGTTCACATGAGAGTCAGCAATGCCACCTAACCTGACTCAGGATGTCTGTGGTGCTGAACAGCAACTTGCAGCTGTGAGGTAGTGGTAACTAGATCCAGGTGAAGCCTCTTGGGGCCTCAGGAAAGGGCTGGCATCTGAAGGAACACTGTGCAGAGGCATGGGGCTTCTCAGCTTTCTCTGGATCTCTTTCTACGTTGTCTTGGGGTATAGGCCATTTAGTCCAACATGCTCATCTGTACTGAAGAAGATGCAAACTCAGGGAGGTGAAAAGATTTTTGTCAAGTTCACAGAGTTGGTAAATGGAAGAGTCAGGAAACATGGCAATCTTAATAACAAGTGATAACTATGTCATGTTACCCTAATAACTGGATTCATTCTAAGCATTCAACAAGTGTTGAAAAAGCTATGGGAAAAGGTAGCTTCAGTCCAAGTGCCAAAGGGACCAAAGAATGTCAGCAGAGTTGCCTGATGACCTGGGAATTCTTTAATGCAGAGGTTCTGAGGAACTCAGCACCTGAATCAGAGGTTCTGTGGGAACACTGATAACTCCACATGTTGTAGTCTTCAAGTAGACATGAATGGTCTTCAGCCATTCCCTATTTTTTGTCTGGTAGAGCAGGAAACATCTGGTATAAGTTTGACTAGGGCCTGTAGGAGAAAAGTGGGCAAGAACAAGGCCATGGCCAATTTGATTCAGGCATCGACCTCCTTTCTCATTTCTTGTGTGTGATCCTTTGAAAGCTTAAGTTAAAAGGATGAGGGTAGGTTCAATTCCTAGTAAAACACACTCATAGGATAAAAAAAGGACAAGGGGCAAGGGTTAAAAAAAAAAAAAGGTTGAATGGGAAAATGCATTAAAGAGGCAAATTTCTTCAAGAAGAGTACAATGTAAATCCAATATTTCCAGAGTGCTTAGTATGGACCCTTGCTAGTCTAGAGTCCTGCACTGTTCAACATGGTGGCTGCTAAGCACATGTGCCTATTTAAATTAAAATTGAGCTTCAATGAAGATTCGGGTTCTCAGCTATACTAACCACCTTTCAAATGCTCAATATCTGTAGGCAGTGGCCACAGTATTGGACAGTGCAGATAAATAAATTTCCACTGATACAGAAAGTTCTGTTGGCTACTCATTGACTTTGGTTGTCTTCTTTCATTTCTTGATGGCTACAAGTAGCTTCTCAAACCCATCGGAGGAAGAACTAAACTCAGGAAAGCTAGAGGGTACCATAATCTACTCTCTAGCATGCCATTAAACCTGGAATCTCAAAAGAAGCTAAGAGCAAGTACATATGAATCTACAAGTGTACTAGGCTCACCAGGTCATAACCCTTCGTACCCCATGCTCTGTCTACACATTCACAGCCACTCTGACCTTTGCATATTTTATTCAGTTTCTATTTTACGCAGTTTTAATTGATGTTTAATATAGCTTAACTCTGCATGGTGTTCCAAGCCCCTCACCAGGGGGCCGCTCACAGGCAGAAGCACAATTAATAGCAATCCCCAGAAAATTATGCCCTGTATCAAAGTTGTCATTGCACCATATAAATGCTTATTATTACTATTGAATTCTCCAGCCCTGACACCTCCCTGTGTTTACTAGGTAGCAGATAAACCTCTGTTTGTGTCTTCCCTACTCTACCACACCACCAGGACTAAATATAGCCCTTGTGTGTAAGTTTAGTTCCATTTAGCTGTTTTTAAAAAGGGGAAAAATCAGAGTTAATAAAATTGGTGGAAAATGTGATTTATTTCTCCCCCACTTGACAACCCCTTAAAAGACATATGACCTCACTACTGGCAAAATGGGGAACCTGCCTCAGCTAAAGGTAGGGAGTCTCCCACGTTGTCAGGGCTCCCCAGTCTCCTGTGATGAAGCAGGCCCCTCAGCACTGCATACTGGAGCTAGAGATAGTGCCTTGGGCCCACCTTGTGCTAGGGAGTTCCCTAAACAAAACAATGTAACCTGTCCTCCAGAAAAAGAAAAAAGAGAGAGAGAGAGAGAGAGAGAGAGAGAGAAGGAGAAGGAGAAGGAGAAGGAGAAGGAGAAGGAGAAGGAGAAGAAGAAGAAGAAGAAGAAGAAGAAGAAGAAGAAGAAGAAGAAG